GGAAACCTTTTTTTTTTTTTAGATTTTATTTTATTTTATTTTTTAGAGAGGGAAAGGAGGGAGAGAGAGAGAAACATTAATGTGCAGTCGCTGGGGGTCATGGCCTGCAACCCAGACATGTACCCTGACTGGGAATCAAACCTGTGACACTTTGGTTCGCAGCCCGCGCTCAATCCACTGAGCTACGCCAGCCAGGGCTGAGGGAAACCTTTAAAATGTAAGCTTAAGGAAGTGCTCATTAGTGCTGTCAGTTATGGTTTTGTTACTTTGAACTATCTTAACATTTTAAAATTTCTGGTTGCATTATTATTTCTTTATTTTTTTATTTTTTTAGGAGTATCGTAGAACTCTGAGCCCAGGTACGGGAAAAAAAGAGAGTTTACTTTTGTTATTTATTGAACATGGGTAAAAAATGGAAATTGTTTTAAAAAATGCCTGATAGCAGTAAACAAAATTGCTATATATTTTTTAATGTACCGTATTTTGTCAGAATTTGAAGGTACTGAAAAAACTATCCTGAAATGCAAGGGGGGAAAAAAATTTTAGTCCACTCATTGTGTGACCTGCCTAGAATCGCCCAGGCTTCCCGGGGGCGGGGCTGGTGGCCGTCAGCCACGTGAGCCGAGCCGAGGGTCTGAAAAGGCGTCAGTTGCAGGTTTCACCCTCGCTACCTGCCGCCAACACTAAGGGCTCCCGCGGGTGTGCGTGGCCTCCCAGACCCAGGGTGAGTGCTCCGATAGGGTGAGGATTGTTTTTCATCTTTAGGGTATGTGGACAAGGCACCTGTTGTTCAAACTGGGGCCAAAGTGATCATCCGAAAAGAAAAATAGAGATGGAATGACGGGATCAATGTAGTAATTTACTCAGGAGAGTGTGGATCATCTGTGAATGTCAAACTATTGAGAAACAGGATACTCACCGAGTCCCAAGGTGACTCCTCACAGACTGCTTATTAATTTCACAGGAAAACAGCCCCTTTAAAAGGGAGAGATCTGGTGGCACTACCTTAACCCGTCCATCACACACAGCATGGCTGCTGCTGGGACAAACTGGCGTTACACAATTCCTGATGTGATTCAGTAAGAAACACAAAACAACATCTCTGTTGTTTCCTGGCCCAAACTGTTTGATGATGAGGAAGCCATCAGACTGCCCAGAATAGGAGGCCAGCCTTCCAGTCTCTCTCTCTCTCTTTCTTAACAAGGCAACTGCCCTAGATTCATCCAAAGAGTCAGTGTCATGAAAAACAAAGAAACAAAGGGACTAAAGAGACATAACCAATACCATATGTGAGTCTTGTTGGATCCTGTATCTTAAGAAGAAAAGAGGTTATAAAAGACATTTTTGGGACCCTTGCAGAAAGTCAAATATGGATTGAGTATCAGAAAATGTTCTTGCATTAATGCTGACGTGCTTAGGATTGCTAGCGGCATTGTGATTATGTAGGAAAGTGGCCCCCCGGGATAGATGCTGACGTACCTGTGTAGGGGGCACGTCCCATCCGCAACTTCACTAGAAATGATTGAGCAAAGCCAACATTTACATACACGCTTGTGTGCACACCCCAAACGTGGGTGAAGAAGCAATTAGTGAATCTGGGTGAAGGGTCATCTCGATTCATTCATCTTTTCTGTGGATTTGAAAATTTTCCAGATACATCGAACAAGTTGAAGAGAGTCTGTGGCTCTTGTCTGGCTTGGAAAGGCTTGGACTTCTGCCCCCTGCGCCTCCCGGGCGGCTCCCCAGGGGGACCCTCCTGCTGGGGGGCCCGCCTGAAGACTCCCAGGCATCTGTTGTCTGCGACGTTTGTCTTGTCGATAAGAAGCAGGCAGCTGAGTGGCGGCGCTTGGTGGTGGCAGTGCTGGGGACAAAGGACTGGCCCCCCCTCACGGTCGTGGGAGGAGGGGAGGAAGTGTCTGCCAGGCACGTGCAACACCAGGAAACTCGTAAAATCTTTTCTGGCTGTGAAATGTTTTGTGCTGGGGAATCGCCGCTAAGCTGGGAGCTAAGCTGGGAGTGGCTGGCCAACAGTTAAGAGCAAAGGCTGTGGGGCGCTCCTAAGGGTGGAGCTGAGTGTTCAGAGCCTTTTCTCTGAGTCTCTTGGGGATCTGAACAGAACCTGCCTGGGAGGATCCAGTGCGTGTCCAGCACAAAGCCCAGTGCCCAGCCAGCACAAGACTCCACGCAGCCCTGCGTGCTGCATACACGAGCCCTTTCCATTCTGCGTGGCCATTTCTTCTTGCCCTGGGGCATCACCTTCCTAGGTGGGGTATGAGAGGCCCGTGGAGGTCAGTGCTGTTAGGTTCAGAGCCCAACACATTGAGGCATCACCCCCTCTGCCTGGCTGTGCCCTGTAGCTTAGTGGGTCCCTGAGAAGCCGCAGGTGAATTCAGACTCAGTCACCATGGCTGCTTCCACATCAGGGTAATCCTCTTGGGCCTGGTGGTTGGGGGGAAGGAGAGCTCTGAAAGATTTGTAAAGCACCAAGGGCAGGAAGGGAACTAATCTGATTGAGCACATCTGCCTGTCAGAGTGGGTTGCTGGCTGCCAGCAAAGCTGTGAAAGGACCTCACTGCCCGCCCCCCCCCCCCCCAGCACGATGCACGTTTCTGCCGGGACTGTGACCTTCACTGAGCCACCATCTGCTCCTGGGAAGAGCGCATATCTATCAAGGACCTGTGAATAGTGTCAGCCGGCCCGGTTCAGCCCAAGGTTCAAGGAAACCTTTGCAAAAAAAAAAACGTGTTTCTTTCTTTTAAAATTGCACAACAAATACATGATCAAGAGAAGAAAGTTAGGGCACATAGATAATCTGAGATCAGCAGAGGACAATTCAAATGGCCTGAAATTTCACTGTCCAGAGAGAATGATTCCTTCTCTCAATGAACATTCATTGGGCACCTGCTGTGTACCAGGGACTATGCTGGGACACAGGCACAGCCGCGAATGGGTGGGACATGGTTCCTGTGCTCATGGGGTTTAGACCTGTTAATGACCTGCTAGCCGGAAATATTGACACTCCATATTAAACAAGCAGTCTCACTGCGAGAAGCGCCTGGATGACGTCCAGTGGCCTCTGAGCTGAGTTCTGCAGGACACATGGAAGGTGGGTGAGGGGACCGACACTCCCAGCTAGAGAGGGTACGAGTTCCACGTGGCTGGGTCCTACACTTGGGGTATGAGGCCAGGCCTGGTCAGCCAGGCCCCAGCCCAGGACTTCAGCTGTACAAGAGGCTCTTCCCCTTGGGCAGCATTGACCTTGCCTTTCCCCACCTGCGTCGCCCCCGAGTGTGACGAAGGGGGAAGGTGTGTGTTTTGGAGGTGGTGATGGATGGGGCTCCAAAAGGGGTTGGGGCCGGGGGCCTGCTCTGCTCAGGAACAGATTGACCACTGTCTCCGCTCCTCGCTGCGCCATCCATTCCCACGTGCTCAGCCCCTCCCTGTCGAGAGGTTCACGTCCTGCCACCTCCTTTGTCCTGCCACCTCCTTCCACTTAGTGGGAGTAGTCAGGCTCTCGGAGAAGATGAACGAAGATGAACCACGGGCTTCCCAGAGCGCGTTTCCTTTCTCACTGACACCTTCTGAGCCTTCCTGAGGACTCTGCTGCGTCTGCTAGAGGGCAGCCTGTGCTGGTTCCCTCCTCCTCTCTCCTGCAAAGCCCGAGAGCCCGGGGAGAACTGGGCCGGAAGCGCTGGCGGTTGCGCACAGGTATGCGGGCGCTTTGTTGGCCGTTCCCTGCGCTGGCACAGACGCGTGCTCTGAGCACAGCTGCCTCTGCTGGCGCTCGCACCACAGCTGCTCTGCACCCAGTGAGGTTGGGCTTGGAGGCCACAGGTGACCAGAGCGAGGCCAGGACTCAGGGTCGGCCGGCTGAGGTGGGGGTCGGGCAGTGCGTGGGGACTGTGGTCAGGGAAGGCTTCCAAGGCGCAGTGACTCTGAAGGGAGAGAACGAGGTGAGGATAGGCCAGTGAAGAGGGGATGGGTGGGGAAGGGCGCCCCAGACAGAGGGGCTGCGTAGAGGAGGCCAGGAGAGCACGATGCCTCCTGAACTGTGGTGGGGGGGCCCCAGCCAGGTGTGCGTGGTTTCCCCCACGGTGAGGGGGGTTACAGCTGCAGAGCCTCCCATAGGGATGGCTGCCACTTCCCACCCGCAGCCCCAGCACCTGCACCCTCAGTGACCCTGACACCCGCCGCTGCTGCTGGCTGCTTCTCTGTGCCGAGGACGTTGTCGGGTGCTAGTCCGTCAGAGCCATGGTTCCCTTGACCAAGGCTCATGTTCGATCTTGTTTCTCATAGGGACAGGCGCCGTTAGTTGTCCATGGTGGTGACACGCTTGATAAAGTACGCTTCTGGGCTTTCTCCCCTTTCCTGTCTTCTCTCACCTCCCAGTCTTTCCGAGGCTCACCTCCCAAGCACTCTGTTTCTGAGAGGACCCAGGTTAAAAACCCACCAACGGAGCTTAAACTCAGTACTGAGGTAGTGGGAAGCTATTGAAGGGCTTTTCCACATCTGGGGGGGGACAGGGTCAGATTTGCAGCATCATTCTGACTACGGCCTGACCCTCTGAGTCGCCCTGGGATTGCATTAGTCACGACCAAGCAGGAGAACCATCCCCCACACCCCCCAAGCCCTCACTGTGGGCGCTGGCGACTCTCGAGTACTTTCTGTGTCCCACATGCTGGGCTGAACATTGGGTATGCGCTTTGTCATTGCATCTGGCAAGACCCTCGTGAGGTCCAGGTTCCGTTTTACAGATGAGAGAACTGAGGCACAGAGAGGGCGAGATACCTGTGTGTGATCACACAGCCGGAAGCCAGGGCTTGGGGGCTCGAGCTCAGGTTTGACAGATCCAGTGTACGTGTTCGTCCTCCCTCGGCGGTGGGGCCTCCGGGCCTCCCGGCCTCCCTGCCAGCACCAGCCAGGCATGTTCAGATGGCCCTTTACTAAATTCCCGGGTGCGGGCTAGTGCTGACTCCCAGTAACCTCTGTCTCTCCCACAGGTAAATTCGAGGATAGGGAAGACCACGTACCCAAGCTGGAGCAGATAAACAGTACGAGGATCCTGAGCAGCCAGAACTTCACCCTCACCAAGAAGGAGCTCCTGAGCACGGAGCTGCTGCTCCTAGAGGCCTTCAGCTGGAACCTCTGCCTGCCCACGCCCGCCCACTTCCTGGACTACTACCTCTTGGCCTCTGTCAGCCAGAAGGACCAGCACTGCCACAGCTGGCCCACCACCTGCCCCCGCAAGACCAAAGAGTGCCTCAAGGAGTACGCCCACTACTTCCTGGAGGTCACCCTGCAAGGTGGGGCCCAGTGTCGGAACCTGCCACCGCTTCCCCACCTAGCCAGGGGCCGGGATCGTATGGCACCAAGGGGCATGCATGTCCATCCCGGGAGTCCTCATGGACTGGAGCCCATGCACCCACATCACTCCCACTTTGCAACAGATAAGCCAGGAATCACCCAGTGTGTTACCAATCATGTGCAAAAGAGAACCAGCAGCTTATGACAGGCCACTGGTATCCTTCAAACTTAGTGATCACCTGGTAAATTTTTTATGGTAACCCGCAACACTGCAGATCTAAATAGGACAGATTTGTAGATAGGTCAGTCTGGAAGAGCTGTCACCATACAGGTGGGTGGGGGAGGTGGTTATGTTTGCATCCGCTTCAGCAATGAAGTTGCCCTGTTTGGGGACTTGCATGTGAATCTCACTCTTCCCAGTATCTTAAAATCTAGGTGGTAGGTAAAGTACTGGGTCAGAGGCACAGTAGAGTTGACCAACCACCCAGTAACCCACCACAAACCGAATTGGTCACGTGTTAACTGTGTCAACAGTTATGCTATCAAGTATGAAGTGGGTGCTTACTGTGTACCTGGCACTTTCTTTTAGTGCTTTGCCTCCATTATGTCATTTGAACCTTCTAGCGACTCCACCTAAAAGTCGTTTCTGCTATTCCCATTTTACAAGTCAGTTTCCTTAATTGGTGCTCAAGAGGCAGAGTAACATACCCCGAGCCATTGCTAAAATTTGAACCTGTGCAGTCTGGGCCTGAGGCTGTGCCTGTCACCTTAATACCACCCTGACTGATTTCTTGCTTTAACAGGCAAGAGTCGAAGTCATCGAAAATCATAAACAATTTAAGACAGCCTGGCAGGGTACTGATAACCAGGTGTCCTTCAGGAAAATTGCTCATCAGTAGTGCCAGCTTTGCCAAGTTGTGAGGTAGCTTAGTGTGGGACATTAGGGTTTCTCAGATAATTTCACAGTGTGTACATATTTCAAAGGCTCACACAGTACATCTTATTTACTCGGACAGTTTTTTATTTGTCAATCATACTTAAGTAAAGCAGGGGGCAGATTCCTCAGGAAATGGAAGTCGAGTGCCAGTTCTAGTTACAGATACCCAAATGCTGTAGTCACTCATTTTCACATTCATGGATTCAGCAGGTTTGCCCTGAGTGCCTGCTGTGATCCAGGCTTTGTTACTGTTGATAAGTAGCCTCTGAAATGGCATGTCATTCTCACCTGACAACCAAAGCGAGGACAGGTGTTCTGTGGTCCCGTCGCAGCCCGTCGGCAAGCCCGCTGTGGACCGTATTGTGAAAGTCGCCGTCCTGGGCTAACATCAGAAGCCCCGGACTGAGAGCCACGGTGTTTCAGATGCAAGAACTCCACCTGTTGCCGTTTGCACTCTTTCATGGCGTGCGTGGCCCGGTGGGGGTGGCACAGCGCTTCAGTGAACAGCTTTGCATCTCATCATTTGTCTACCAGTTCTAGGGGGCACCAGGCAGGCAGGGCACTGGGAGGCAAAGCGTAACGAGGCTGACTCCCTCTGATTCTCTTTCAGATCATATTTTCTACAAATTCCAGCCTTCCGTGGTCGCTGCGGCCTGCGTGGGGGCTTCTAGAATTTGCCTTCAGCTTTCTCCCTACTGGACCAGAGACCTGCAGAGGATCTCAAACTACTCCCTGGAACATCTCAGCACGTGCATCGAGATCCTGCTGGTGTAAGTCCCTCTCCAGTTCGGGCCCAATGCAGGCGATTTCCTGAAGTCTGAGACTTATTTATGGTGGGTCCCCCCCGCCCCCCGCACTGGCTAGAGTCTCGCATCTCGTGGGTCATGGGGACTCCTGATGGCACTGGGGTGTGGGGAGTTGGTGCTTCCTGTCTGGGGCGGCTTTGGGTTTACAGATTTAGGGTCAGGGAGTGAGGCGGAGCGAGGTTGTGTGCACCACCTTCTGCATGTCTGGCTCTTTGATCTGAGTCCCAGTGTGTCAGTCAGTTCATGGAGGATCGCACTGAGGGACTCTCATTACAAGCTGTTTTTTCAGGTGTGGCCACAAAGCTGACCTCTTAGCCAGCTAAGCCCAGAGTAGCTTCACTTAAGAGACCACAGCTTCCTTGGGGATCTTGGGGAGGAAATGTTCAGTGTATCAGAGAAGATGCTTCAAGGCTTCGTAGACCCAGCACCATGAAACTGATGTCAGAGGTGAAGGAGCTCAGTGGTGACCTGAGGGAGGAGCACAGATAAGACAGAAAGATCCTGCCTGGCCGCACCCAGTCCCTCTTCCACCTGACAGGTGGCAGCATATCCCAGATGCTTGGCCCCACTGAACATGGGCCCAGGTCCCTGAAGAGCCACCTCTTGGCCTCCAGGTATAGCTGCCCTTGTCTCATTTCCCTGAAGTCTCAGTCTTGCTCCCTGGGCCTTGTCTTCAAACCTGTGCCTTTGAGAAGCTACCCAAAACCAGAGAATGAGGCCTGGTCGGACTGCTGACGGGGGACCCCGGGTTCTCAGCCACGAGCCCTGCCTCTTCATGGCTGCCACTCTGGGACAGCCCCCTTCCCAGGCCTGCTGCGGCTCCATGGACCCTTGTCTTACATTCCCCTTCACAGATGGAGAAACTGAGGCCCCGTGGGCACCTTGCTTGGGATCCTCTAGCTCAGGAGTGACCCAGCTGGGACAGAGCCGCTGGAAGTGCCTTGAAGGTGGAGGTGGGGCTTATCTGAGCGCCAGGAGCTCTGCCCTCTGGGCAGGCGCTCTGCCAGGTGTGGGACGCAGCAGTGCCCAGGAGCAGACAGGGTCCTCCTGGTCGGAGCTTTCACTCAGCACGGCGCAGGGCCCGGCAGTAACCCGGAAGCTATCACCTAGGGTCTTGACCGTGAGGGGGGCGGGCAGAGTGACTGCAGGACAGCGAGGCTAGTCTTGAGGGGTCAGAGGAGGTCTTTACAGGACTTGGACCCAAGCGGAGATCCCAGGCCTGAGGCTCGTGGGACAGTAACTGAGGCCGGGTGGGAGGCAGTGAGCACAGGCTGGGCACGGTCCGGCGGTGACAGCGCACAGACCCCACTTAGCAGGGCAGGTGGAGGCGCTCTCAGGTGTCAGCCTTTCGCCTCTGAGTCTCACCCAGGTCCTTCCCTTTCAGAGCGTATGACAACGTCCTCAAGGATGCCGTCACAGTCAAGAGCCAGGCCTTGGCGATGGTGCCCAGCACGTCCCCAGCCCCCACCCAAATGCTGTTCCAGCCACCCGCCTACCCCACCCTCAGCCAGCCGACGCCGGTGGCCCTGGGGCAGTTCCAGACCCCTGTGCAGGACCTGTGTCTGGCCTATCGGGACTCACTGCAGGCCCACTGTTCGGGGAGCCTGCTCTCAGGAGGCACGGGCTCCTCTGTCCACACCCCGTACCCCTCCCTCCAGCCCCTGGACGTGTGCCCCATGCCCCTCCCTGCATCCCTCAGCATGCAGATGGCCATTGCGGCCGAGCCCCGGCACTGCCTCGCCACCACCTACAGAAGCAGCTACTTCAGCGGGAGTCACGCGTTCCCTGCGGGCTGTTTTGACAGATAGGGCCCTGTTGGGCCTCCCGGGGAGGCCTCGGGGACCCAGGCAGAGGAAGAGGATGCTGACGAGGGGGGCTCAGCGGAACAAGGCCACTGGGGGGCCATCCCTGCAGAGCCTCGTTGCCCTGGATTGGAAAGGGTCTGTGCTCTTTTTAAGTAAAACGGACCCGGAGCAGAACAGTCAATGAGATACCTCACCCAAGAGCATTCCTCTGGAAAACGTCTTCCACACGTGCCTGCAGTACAGGGGGATGCTCGGTGGCCATCCCCTGGGGCGGGGGCCCGGAGAATCGAGAAACACCTGGTGAGAGGCCAGGAGACTGGGAGCTGGATGCAGACACCAGTCTACAGACACACATCCGGTGTTCAGCATCAAAGACTCCTGTATTTGCCGACGGCAGCTACACCACTGAAGAAGAAGGGGCAGTCTGACGTGTTCTCAGGACCCCGATGGATCGGTGGGGGCCCGTGCAGGGGCCCGTGGGTGGGTGGGGCCTGCGCGTCTGCCTTCTGAGGCCCGGTGGGTAGCTGTGTTGCCTTTACTGTCGAACCGTCCCCCCCTTTTAGACTTTTCACATGCTGCTGCTTCCCGAAGTGACCTAGCTCTCTGTTCAGTAGGAAGTCTTGTTTACATACTGTATCAGGGATTTTGTGATACTTGAAAATTCCTTTGGAGAAAAACAATGTTGGTTGTCACACTGCCTGTCTCATGCGCGGGCTGTAGGTTTCTGTCTCGGCTTGTGACTGACCAGTGGGTGACGGCTCCCTTTTCAAAAGCATACGTACGGTTGGGGAGAACCACTTTCCAGTCTCTGGGTTCCAGAAGATTCCACATTTTGGATGCCGTGTTCACCTGTAGAACCAGAGGTAAAAGGTGGCTGAAGGGTAGACAGAGGTTCTACCTCCTCTGCCTGCTTCTAGTGCTTGAGTTTAAAGCTAGGCTCGGCCTTGAGTTTGGCTGAGAGCAAAGGGTAATCATGTGGAATGTGTGTCTGAGGCCAGTTGCATTTGGGGAGGGGGGTGTACGGTGTATATGCCACCACCAGCGACAGGCAAGCGATCATTCGGATCAAAAGCCAGTATTTGGGTTTCTGCCACGAGGGGGCTCTCAGGACCACTCGGGGGCCATGTGCAATATGTTCTCTGGACTCACGGCCTGTGCTCAGTGTGGTGGTGTTGGTTTTTTTTTGTTTTTTGTTTTTTGTTTTTTTCGGTTGGATCGGGGACACATTGTTCACCCAACAGAACTGAGAGGTGCGAAGAACCACAAAAGCATTTTTCCGTATGTTTATTTCTTAAGAAGAACCCACGTGGGTTTTGCCGACTCCCTTGCCAGTCCGGGGGACCGGCAAGTGGCTGCCAGCGCGCGGCGGCGTGCTGCTGAGTCGGCCCGCAGGTGACGTTCCCAGCAGGAGAAAGCCCCCGCATGGGAGCAGGAGGAGAAGAGACTGGGCGTGGGTGTGGCGCTGCCACTGGGTCACACTCACATAGGAAACCGCACGTTTGTTTGTTTTTCTCTTTTTCCTTTGCCAGCCTCCTATTTATGTACAACCGGTTTGGATTTCAAGTGATGGTGTCTGTCTGTTCTGCGGCTGGGGGCTTGTGAGGGGCCCCCAGTAAAAGGCGCCCTGCAATAAACACGTCACCGGCTCTAGGTCTCCGAGTTCTCTTCCTCGTCGTCTTCTCTCAGCCAGCCACACCCCAGTCCCTTCCACATCGGCCCAAGGGTCTCACTCCTGCCGAGAGTTTGGGGGGAGTGGGTGACAGAAGAACTGGCTCCTGTGAGGCTGGGTGTCCCTGGGGACACGGGCAGCCGGGCTGACTGAGGCTGGGCATCCCAGCTCTCCCACTAGCTCGGTCAGTGTTCTGCAGAGAAACAGAATCTATTATATATTTAGCGAGAGAGATTCAGTTCCAGGAATTGGCTCAGCCTTGCAGATGCCTGGATTAGAATCAGAGTCAAGGCTTCCTCATGTCCTCCGGTTCAAAGTCCATCCCTCCACCACCTGTTCCCACGTCTGAATTCTCCTTTGTTTCAGTGATTCCCAGCAGGGCTCACTCGTGCTCCCCAGGACACGTGTCAGTGTCTGGAGACATTTTTGGTTGTCACAGTAGACGGGGGGGGGGGGGGGGCCGGCGTTCAGCACGTGGAGGCCAGGGACGCTGCTCGGCCTCTTCCAATGCACAGAACAGCGTCCACGATGAAGAATTATCTGGCCCGAATGATAATAGTGCCAAGGCTGAGAGACATCAACTCACATGTTACCTCCCAAAGTGGGCTCTCGTAACACCCCCTAATTATTCTGCCATCACCCCCTTTTGTTTTCCTCACAACGGTTAAAAGCTTCGGAAATGCTCTTGTTAGTTGGTTTACTCGGTTTGATGTTGGGTCCTAAGCTGTCCACCCCCAGCAGAACACCTAGAATATCACTGCCTGGTGGGGGTAGCACCAGTCCTAGCAGCTGGCGTTGCTGAGCATCATTCACTGTGTATAAAGCACCACGCTAAGGACTCTGCTGGCATTTCCCATCATCACCTCGTAACCCGACAAGGCTGGAACTTTCTCAGCTGTATTTTATAGGTCAGGAAGCGGGGCACGCAGCGGTTACTCACCCGAGGAAGCAGTGGGGAAGGAAGGAGCCATAATTCAATCCCCGGCAGTCGGGAGCTGCCCTGCCAGCCGGCGGTGCCTGCGGGGTTTGGAATGAGTGGACGGCTCCTAGCTGTCCTGCCGGGTTACTCACCCGGCGGGAAGACCGGACAGAACAATGGACATGGGTTCATAAAAGAGTGGCCTGGCATCCGTGCTTCTGGGTTCCAGAGCGGCAGGCGCTCTCACACACAGCGCACTCACCAGCAGACAGAACTACAGAAACACGGCTTCTTGCACGTCTGCCATGTGAGGGACAAGGTGCTCTGTGGCTCTGTCTGCCCCCGCTGCGTAGGCTCTGGACAGGGAGGGGTTCCCCAGCCCCACCCGTGAAGGCAGAGCTCTGGGCCAGGCCTGGGCTCCTCCCCTGGAGCATTCCCTGGAGGGACCCCACCTCTGGGCCATCCCTGGCACCAAGTGCCTAGGAAAGAATCTTAACCAGTCCTTATTACCACATTCTCTGTTCTGCAAGAAAGACCTTGTGACTTGAATTTCAGCAGAAAGGCCATAGCATTGGACAGGCATCTCAAGTCCAAGGACCCAAGAGGTGCAGGCAGGTCATGACAGTGTATCCATCTGTCAGTGGGACTGCTGGAGCCAGTGTCCGTCTGAGGAGATGGCTTCTGCTCAGCTCCAGCCAGTAACACCGTTCAGGGATGTGAGCTCTTTGTTGCCAAACCTTCCAATTTCCAGAAAAACTGGAAAGCTACACTTTTCTAGGAAATCTACTAATTTTTCATTTAATTAGAAAAATGTTTTAACATGTTAACAGAAAAACAATGAATACCATTGTAGGTTAGAGTGGCCCTTGGGCTGGTAGCTTCCAACTTCTAGTGCTACATAGACATGAGCGTTGGGCCTGAGAAGTGGAAGCTCTGAGTTTGTCTGACCTGAGCTAGGTGACCTTGGGAAATTCCAGCTCTCTGCTCTGAACCTCCGTCTCCCTGTTGGTAACTCAGGACAGTGATCAGTGTTCACTTTGGGTTTATGGCAAACAATCGTGGAGTATACGGCATCATTATTCAACAGTGGGTTCCAGGAGGAAAGTTGTAAATAAATGGGCTCCTCCCTTTGGAGGCTCGGGTGAGCCTCTGAGCCTCACCTCCCTCCACCCCAGCTCTGGTTTAAAGGAGAAAGAACTAAAGTGGTCAGGAGTCTTCTGCTGGGCCAGCTCTGACCAGTGCTCAGGGGCCTGCCAGAGACACACTACAGGCAGGATGTAGAGGGAGCCAAGCCTACTACTCCATAGCTGTGTGGACCTGGGCAGGTCATTTCCCTTCTATGTCTCAGCTTTTCCATCTGCAAATGGAAGGATTGGGAGTGGAACTGTCTCTGTCATGCCTGGCTGGGGAGCCCTTCACAATGACAGCTCCCTGGTCTTGGCACCTAAAGAGCTTTGTCCAGCAGGTCTGGGCTAGGGCTGGGACTGTCCTTTTAACAGGACCCCCAGGCGATGCCCATGCGCTGCCAGGCTGGGGTAGCTCTCCCTGCCCTGAAAGCTCTGACCCTGTGTGTGCCCATTCTCACAGAAAGCCAACCAAGAAGGGCCCTTAATTGCTGTTCGCTGAGCATATACTATGTTCCAGATTGTGTATTTGACACGTTCCTTGTGCTCTCTTGTGACACGTTCCTATGTGCGCCTCACAACACCCCCACGAGCTAGAGTCATCACCATTTTCTAGATGAGGATACTGAGGTTCAGGAGGCTCGTGTCACCAAGGGGAAGTGGCAGGAGAGGGTTTCACACTCGCATGTGCCTGACTTGAGGAGCCACATGGCCTCCAATGCCTTGTCACCCTAAATGACACATACACACTGGTACCAAGGTCCAATCACTCAGGACTTTACTGTCTGAACCCCTTATCCTGCCCTCCCCAACACACAGTCACACCTTGGTGACCGCGGGTGGCAGGCGGGTGGTGGAGTGCCACCTGGTGGTGGTTTGTAAAGCTCCCATTTCTCTAGACCAGTTTGTCAGGAGGGATGTGCTTTCCCTGGCAGAGGGGAAGAGCGGCCTCTCGAGGGTCAGGGTGAAGGTCACGAAGAGCCTGGGTAAAGGGCACCTGCACTGAGTGGGGAGTGACTACAGCATCTTGCAAGTCACAGCAGAAGGATGCAGCTCCTCTAACTTTCGAAGCCACCAACTCGGACTTTTACCCTCTGTGCTCGGAACTCCTCTGTGACCCAAGGGCAGGTCTGCTTAGTCCGTTTTACACGCAGGGGACGAGATAGGACTCTGAGCGACCCGCAGCTTGCCCTCGTGCCTCAAAAGTTCACGGAAGAGGCCTTCCTCAGCCTTTCACCACACTGGCTTGAGAATCAACAATGGCGGTGATCGTGGAGGTGATGGTGGTCGTGTGGCAGCCGCTGCTATTGAGTGTGTGTGTAGCATGCCAACTCTGTTAGGTAAGTACAGTGACTGTCCCCACTTACAGGTGGGGAAACTGAGGCTCAAAGTAATGGATGAACGTACCCGAAGGTGACTCAGCTTCTGGGTGGTGGAACAGGGATTCAAACCGTAGCAATGTGACTCCAGAGTTGATGCTCTTTCCCACTGTCCCTTCTACTGGCTGAGGGAACCTTTCTGCCAAGATGTGAGCAAAATAGACACTTGACTCTAGTTCATCTTATCCCATTCACCCTCGTGAGCTGGACGAGAAACTAGCCTCCGTCAGCCAGGGATGCCCACTGCACGTTACTCTCAGAGACTCATCTCTGCTGTGTAACCTTAGATGAATGTCTTTCTCTCTCTCAGCCTCGGTTGCCATATCTGTGAAATACAGACATTAAACGAGGTGAGCTCTGAGGTCCTCCATGAGTCTCTGAATCCGTACCAATGCCAACTTAAGAACGCCTTCCCAGCCAATAATTTGAATTTGTTCTTTTTAACAATTTATTTTTTAAATGATTTTATTTATTTTAGAGAGATGGGAAGGATGGGAGAGAGAGAGAGTAACATCAGTGTGTGAGAGGTGCATTGATCTGTTTCCTTTCACACACCTCCAACAGAGGACCTGGCCCGCAGCCCAGGCATGTGCCCTGACTGGGAATCGAACTGGCGACCTTTCAGTTCACAGGCCAGCACTCAATCCACTGAGCCACACCAACTGCAGCTGAATTTGTTCTTGAATCAGTTTCCAAACTAAAAATAATGTCTCTGTCTCTCTCGTCTCTGTCTCTCTCAATTTTTAGCCCAATTATGGTTAACTCGCTGTTATTTAGAGACTTATTATCCAAGCTCATTATGAATAATTATTCAGTCTGGAGGGGAAACAGCATCACTGCTAGTTTAATTTAATGCTTACCTAGTTCACTTAATTAGCAATAAGTCTTGGCAAAATGATAGAATTCATGGGGTTCTGGCTTTGTGTGCCGCAGTTGGTGGAGGAGGTAGAGGCTCCCGCTGTTCTTGGAAAGATAAACAAGTTTCAGGGCAGACTGTGGGAGGAGGCAAGGAGTGAACCGCTGCTAGTGGTCTAGCGCTGCCCTCTGTCCGGGGGAGGCTAGCCCCCAGAGAGTGAAAGGCTGTAGATTACACAGGCTGCAAGGACCTTAGGTCAAGTAGCACCTACTAAGCACCTGCTGTGTGCACAGATCCTTGTTACTTATGCCCTGTATGCATGGGACATGTTTATTCACGGCGAGTTAGATCATTCAACTCTTAGAGTTACTCCAATAGTTCCTTATCCGCAGTTCCACTTTCTGCAGTTTTGGTTACCCCATGGTCAACCACGGTCCAAAAATAGTGAATGGAAAATTTCAGCAGTAGACCACTCATGTTTCAAATTGCGGGCCATTCTGAGTTGCGGGATGAAATCTCGCGAGGCCCGCTGGCTCCCGCCCGGGACGCGGCCAGCGCCAGGGCGCCACAGACGTTACGCAGCCATCGGTCGCCACCTTGGTTATCAGATCGTCTGTCTTGGTATCGCAGCGCTCACGTTAAGTGAGCTTTATTTCACATCATGACGACCTGGAAGCGCAGGAGTAGTGACGCTGGCAATTTGGATACGCCACTGAGAAGCCGTCCCGTGCTTGTTCCGTATTGTCAGGCGGTCTGTTGTAGCCTAGGCTTTGTCACCACCTGCGTCATTCACCTGATCTCATCACGTCGGTGTTACGTCATCTCCTATCAACGCAAAAAGGGTGAGTACAGTCCACTGTGAGATGGTTTGAGAGAGGAAGAGACCATGTTCGCATACCTTATTTCAGTATATTGTTATAATTATTCTGTTTTATTAATAATCTCTTACTGTGCTTCATTTGTAAATTAAACGTTATCATTCGTGTGTGTGTGTGTGTGTGTGTGTGTGTGCAGGAAAAAACAGTACATATAGGGCTCGGCACTGTCTGCAGTTCAGGAGTCCCTGGGAGGGGGTCCCAGAACATATTCCCTGCGGATCCCGGGTCGACGACTGTGTTCTTTCTCTTTCTCAGTGGTCTGGCAGTGATTGCCTCTGTAGAGTCAAGGAGGAAATTTCCCATTTGATGCTACTGTCACTTTCTGTCTCTCAGCCTTTTTGCAAAGGGAGGTCTCAAGCTCAGGGCCTTGGGCAGGAACAGAATCAAGCTTGAAGTCCACATCGTCCAGTTCCAGCTTTGTGAATAGTTTTGTTTATGGCACATAGCGTTGGCTTCTAGTGTTTACAAGCCAGGTAAAGCCTTCCTTGTAGTGAAGATAAGTGAATTCTCATACAGAACAACATCCGGTGAAACCCAGATGTGGCCACTCCCCCAGGGGGTGGGAGAGGAGAAAAAGCCCGCTCAGTGCCCTGGGTTAGGGATTATCTGGCCAGGGGCCAGCCCAGCATTCCTACACCCAAACCCCGGGCAGGTGCAGTAACCAGGCAGGGGCGTCTGCTAAATCCAAGTGCTGCCTCAGAAGCCTTCCCGACTCAGGGCTCCAGGCACCCACCAGGGGGTCTGGTGACCTTCTGACCCCCTTTCCCAGCCCCCCACAGCCTCTCTCATTTCTCTGGGCCTCCCCTGCCCAAGCTACTAGTTCAAACCATAACACCCCCGTCTCCCCTCCTGTCACTCTCATTGTCCCTTTGCTACCTTATAGATTATCATTTTTCCTCAGTCCCTCATTGATCCCCCGGCACCCTTTGGTACCAGTAGGTAAACTGAGGCCCAAAGGAACGACACCACAGGAAATGACCGGCAGAGCCAGCGACATGCTAGGCCACCTACCCAGCTAAGTCCTGGGTGTCCACCCAGTGTCTGCACAGCCTTGGAGCCCAGTTGCAGGGGTCGTTTCCTGGACCGGTCATTCCTGCTCACCACCCCCACATGTCAACTCTGCTATGCTTGTCCTGTGGCCCATCTCAGAGTCACTGTCTCCCCTCCCAGGTGACACTGGTCTCTTTAAAGTATTATGTCTGCCCACACAGTGGTGGGTGGCAGAGCGGGGTCCACAGAAGTGTGCCCACAGTGCTTCTTGAGCCACTGCCTTTGCCTTTTTGCAGGGGGCTCAAGACATTGAGTCCACATTCAAGGCTCCCTCTGCCATGACATCGACCCGACAGGGATCCCAGGACCAGGGTTTGGCCTATATAGCCATCCGCAACGGTTTCCCACCCTCCCCCAGCCAGAGCCTGCCCCCACGTCACCAGAAAACAAAGACAAAGATGTTCTGGAGTGAGCAGAGGGCCCATTCTTGGACCAGCTTTATTGGTGGCTTTGTAGCCCCCTTGGAGCCCGCCTGGTTGCTCAGGCCAGCCTCTTATATACGCGCTCATAGGTCACGCCGCCGATGGTGGAGATCTGAAAGAAGCAGGCAGAACAGAGTGGGTCAGTGCTGGGACCCCAAGGGGACCACGGGACACAGCTGTCAGAACACCGGCCTCCAATCTCAGCCCTGAGTAGAAATGAATCTGTTGCACGACTTCTCTGGGCCTCAGTGTCCCAATTTCCTACACGAATCACTGTGCAGACTCAGTGTAGCATAAGTGCTAAGCAGATAGATGACTCTTTATATACGAACTTCCCCCCGTCTGTTCGTTTCAGTTCCCCAGGCGAGGCCCGTCCCTTACATTCTCCCACTGAATCCTCCCATCAATGCTGTGAGGTTGTCCCCATTGTACAGGTGAGAAAACTGAAGTTCAGAGATGTCAAGTAACCCATCTGAGGTCAGAAGGCCACACTCAACCTCTGTCCCATTTGGTATTTGTGGGGCAGCGGTGCCCGGTGATGGCAGATGTGGCCCCTGCCCTCAGGAAGCATAAGGTTTTATGGGAGAGGCCGACAAGAGGAAACCGTTCGGTGAAGGGCCCTGTGTGCGGGGCCCTGAGCTCAAGGCCACCGAGACGTGCTGTCACAGTGTGTGCACGTGTCGTCAGTCCGTCCTCCTGTCCAGCAGAGGCAAGCAGCAAGCTCTTCCTTTTAACTTCACCTCCATGTCTTTGCCCTGGGGGAACATCTGGAGCCCCGGGTTTGGAAGTGGGGCAGCAGAAGTGGAAGAGCCCCCCAGGAGACCACCCCTAACCTTGTTTACAGAGCATCGAGTATGTGAGGGGTCAATCCACAGGTGTGTGTGTGTTGGCTCTGCCAGGAGTTTTAAAAACATTTCATTAGTTGCCAACATTAACAATCTGGAGATTTCACCGAGGAAGTGCAAATTCCCAGCCTCTCTGGAAAAATCAGAAGATCTAGCAGGAAGGGCCTGAAGTCTCATCACGGAGCAGGGTGTCGGCCGCCCCTGCAGGGGTCTCTTGGATGGCCCCTTCACTGACACTTGGGCTTCCAGACTTGGGCCTCGGGGGTCACTTGAGTGTGGGTGCCAGAGTCACAAATCCCATCTCTGTCATAAAAGCTGTGTGCCCTCTAGCTGACCACTTAGCACCCCCGCATGCCTCAATCTCTTCATCTGTAAAGTGGAGACATAAATCCCTCCTTACAGGGTTATTGTGAATTTCAACGAGAGCACAGGGCCTGACACACAGGAGGTTCTGATAAAGCCAGCTGCCCAGAGGCCTGCCTCTCAGAGGCCACGGCTGGGGGCAGAAGAACACTTCGGTCCTGCCAGGACCCAGCAGGACACTCACCTCCACCAGCTTGCCGCCCACGATCTCCGAAGTCTGGTGGTAGTTGGGGAAATCCACCACCAGCTTGCCGCCCTCCATCCGCACCGTGGCCTGGAAGAGAAGCAGAACCCTGAGTCTAAGTCGGCAGAGGCCACCCAATGCAGGCCAGCCCCTCGGGGGTGCAGGGCCTGCCTGCAGCCCCAGCCGTCTTCTCCGGGGATTCATTTGCCCTGTAGGTATACGATTAGATGAACCAAAGACACAGGTCACCTGCACGACTTGCTTAGCCTTGCTATGCCTCCCTTGCGTGCCACTAAAATGGGGGTTGTAACTATACCTGCCTCATGGCGTTACTGTGAGGATTGAGTGATTGAATACGACACATGTCAAGTGCGTAGAGCAGTGCCAGGCACGTGGCGAGCCTCCTTGTTAACTGCAGGGTTAGTCGTGACCATCATTGCTGGGAGGAGGATGATGCTGTCCAAGGGTGTTGATTGCAGCATTGTTTGTAATTGTAAACAGCCTACATATCCGACCTAGGTTATCCACTGGTGAGTATCTATCAATGAGGGAATGTTAAATAAATAGCATTTCCAGTGGCCACTCACCTTGAACTTCTTGCCCCCCATGGTCTCCATGTCACACTCCTTGCCAATGGTGAACTTGTTGGTCATGGAGTGGCCGCTGGGGTAGTGCTGGGACCAGGTGAAGTCCTGCCCATCCTGCTGGACCTCTGTGACGATCTTGAAGTTACGGCCTTTTTCAATTGCATCGCTGGGGAGCCCTGGCGCAGGGGACATGCAGATAGGCTGTGTAAGAGCCACTTACACCTGTGGCTTTGGGAAAGAGCTCACCTCCTCTAGGGCAGGCTACCCTGACAGTTAAAAGCACACATTTCAGCTCTACTGTGAGCCACGCAGCTTGGGCAAATACCTCTCCAAGCCTCAGTGTTTCCATCCACAAAATGGGGTAAGAAGGCCCATTTCACAGGGTGGCTGTAAAGCATGAAGTGTCTTGTAAAGCTCCTGCTGTGTAGTTGACAATAAATAATAGCTGTTCTTCGGATAGTAATACAACACATAGAAACTTGCCAAGTTTGCAAAGCTCTGGTATGAAGGGGACCATCAAGACTGTCTTCTGTGGCTCTTATTTCACAGGTTAGGAAATGAAGACCCACAGCAGGAAAGGGGGCTCCCAGTAGCTCAGTGGAAATTCTGGGCAGCACCAACCAGGTCTAGAGCTGACACTGGCTTATTCCTAATTCCATACCAGAGTGTTGCAGGGGAGGCCAAGTCACCATTCCTTCACGGCCTCTCCTGACAATTGACTCAGAAAGGCTTTTGCCTCCCCAAGGCCCAGGGCTCATGAGCATGGCTCTTGGGGCCTCTCTGCCTCCAGGATGAGGGCACTGGTCCCGGGGGCTGTCAGACTCCCGACAACTGCACTGCCTCAGACGTGGGTGGAACACCAGGGTTTCTGCAGGATTGTCAAGTCCACTGTCTTGTTGGTTCCCCATAACCAGTGTTGCAAACCTCTCAGGTATGGCGCCTTTGATCTCTCCACCCACAGAGCCGAACACAGTAAGAGGCCTTTGTTTATTGAATAACTGAATGAGTGCATAGCTTGTCAGACCTAGTCTCTATGCCAACTTCTCAGTCACCTCTTACAAGGCAGTTTGTGGTGACACTGCTCATCATCTCATCATAAGGTTGTGTGGGTTCTAATATCCCTTTCCAGGGACTTACATTGCAACCCTGAGCAAGGCTAGGTGCCCCCTCAGTAACAGTGGGTTGGCCCTTGCATGTAGTAGGTGTTCAGTAAATGTTTGAATGAACAAACCAGTCAAGTCTCTACCACTTTCTCTAGCTATGTGACCTTGAACTAGTAACTCAGCTTCTCTGGGCCCCAAGTTTCTGCTGAGTAAATTGGGTATACTTATCTTCCCTGAGTGTTTTAAAGTCAGAGGCTTTATGCTCGTATTAGCCCAAGAGCCTGGGACAGAGAAGTACCCATCAGCTGAGGAAGTGAATGAACGAATAAATGAAGTCCTGTCCCACTTTTCCCCAGGAATTTGGGTTCCCAGACCAGTGCTGGTTTTTACAGACCAGCCCAGAGAAGGTATTCTTAGGACCCCACTCACCGAGGCGCTTCATGAACTCGTCATAATTCTTCTCACTCTCGATCTCGTACTTGCCGTTGAAGGCCATGCTGCCGGGAGGCCTGGAGACCTGGAGGCCAGGGAGCACGGGGATGAGGAAGAAGGTTCATGGTGCTGAAGGGTCTGCTGCCCCAGCTTATAAACCCTCCCAGATGCTGAGGCTCAGCCCCCTAAGTCACCCCACTTCTCCTCCTGCCCCTGAAAAGGAAGTGCTTGATGTTTTATGATGTGGGAAGGGCCTGGAGGTGCAGAGCCCCGAGGTTATTCACCCCGGGGAAATGCTGGCTGCAGGCCCACTGCCTTCCCAGCAGGGCCAGGGCCAGCACTGCACAGGGCTTGAGGTGTCTTCCATCCTGTCCACCCCTCCCCCCATGCATCCGTATCTCCCCTTCATCCAGGCTCACCACCTCTCGTTCACTCCCGTAGCCATCGACCAAAGCACATGGAGCACCTCGTGCGTGGGGCGCAGAGGAAACACTGAATGAGACACACATCCTTTCCAAGACTAGCTTCCAGGCTAGTCCAGAGACAAGACACACAACTGCAAAAACTCTCGTGCAAGCAGGGCATGTGATGTGTCCCGAGAGAAATGCAGATGTGTGGCCTGGGGCATGAGAAGAGGGAGCAACCAAGTCCAGGTGGCTGGTGTATCATTGTGCAGAAGGCATTTGATACAGGTCTCGAAGGAACAATGGGATTTGGCTGTTAGGACAAGCAGTCAGATTGGAGAAGGCTAAGAACTAGGGAAACAACATACTAGGAGAAGGGAACAGTGTGATGAAGGAGGAAAGGGCCAGGATGAAAGGAAACAATGAGTTTGGCTGCAGCAAAGAACACTTGAAGAATAGATACAAGAATGTTGCAGAGAATGCAAGCAGCGTAAAGCAGCAGCCCATGGACCCCAGGAGCCAGCCTGGAGGAGGAGGTACCAGGGTACGTAAAGACTCACTCTGTGACAGGCATGGGCTAGGAGTCTGATGAACTTTGCTTGAGCTTCACCTCTGGGAGGGCTAGGAATCTAGACCCCTGACTTCCGGTTCCTGTTCTGTCATCCGGCAACTCCATCTCCTCCATGATAACTCCTGCCCTGGTTGCACTGTGGGGCTATTTTCTGGACCCAGTGCACTGACAACGCAAAGCATGAAGCTCTCTGCAAAGGCTCTCATCCTTCTTATTATTAATGAAGAAAATTTTGCAAGTCTCTGTTTCCAGAGTCAGTTCCCCATGAATCCTCATCATTTCGATCCAAAGCAGAACTCACCGCAGTTGCTAACTCCCAGCGCTGGGACTCTGGAGTTTCTAAACTGATAAAACCAGCTTTACCACATTTTACCAGTCTTCAATCTCCAATCTTGGAATTTCTTTTTTTTTTTTTAAGATTTTATTTATTTATTTTTAGAGAAGGAAGGGAGGGAGAAAGAGAGAGAGAAAAAACATCAATGTGTGGTTGCTGGGGCCCGTGGCCTGCAACCCAGGTATGTGCCCTGACTGGGAATCGAACCTGTGACACTTCGGTTCGCAGCCGGCACTCAATCCACTGAGCTACGCCAGCCAGGGCTCAATCTTGGAATTTCTTAACCCAGCCAGGATTTTTATTGAAAAAGAAAAAAAAACATAAACACATACATTAAACCACCCTCCAACACACACACACACACACAAACATCATCATCATCGTGGATTTTCTCATGCTAAATTGTATATGTGAAAATTTCATAACTCAGAGCAACTGGCAGTCCTGGCTGAGTCAGCCTTTGGTAACAGTTTGGTGTCTATCCGTCTAGACTTTTGAATGAATACATGTACTTTCTTATGTAAATGAGGTTATATTGTCCTATAACTTCTTTTTATGTAATGATATAGCTCATGTCTGTATCGTTACATAAAAGTATATATCATACCCTTCTTAATAGCTCCAGAGTATTTTATTGTATATATGTTTCAGAACTTACATAGCCATTTCTGGATGTTTAGGTTGTTTCCAATCTTTTCCTGTTATAAATAACTCTGAGATAAGCATATTCATTCACACCTCTTGGTGTACATGGCAGATTATATACTAAGACTGTTTGCTGAGGATGAATTCCTAGACATGAAGTTCCTGGAACAAAGGGTTTTTATAAAATATTTATGTCTATTACTCTACCGCCTTTCTGAAGGCTATTAACAGTTTACGTTCCCTCATAGAGCACACGAGTATTTCCTCTCGTTGACAATAACGATGCAATAACAATGACAGTAATTGCTAACATTTATTGTTTAGTATGTGTTGGGCACAACGCTGAGTGTTTTACATGGATTATTTCATTTAATCTCCAAAATGACTCTATGAAGTAGGTACAATTATTGACCCCATTTTGCCAAGGAGGAAACCAAGGTTCAGAGAAGTTCAGGAACTTGCCCAAAGTCACAGAGCCCTGTGTGTATTCATATTTACTACCAAAACAACTTCCAACATTATTTAAGCACATTTCCAAAAATTATCCATAATCCCATTACCCTAACACTGTAGCTTTTTATTTTTTCTATTCTCGTCCTCCCTCTTTCACTCTTTTCTTTCACTCTCATCCTTGCTTTCTTTCTCACTGGCTCTAATTAGAAAAGATACATAATAGGTATAATCACCATGCAAGTACAATATTCATCCTGTTTTTCATTGCCCAGCATTCGTTTGTAAACACAGTCCCAGGTTTCTGAAAAGCTGCCACGTTGATTGTTAGCAATGGCTACACAATGTTTGCTGTTGGACTTGTAGGGGGATCCCAGCTTACCCCCACAAATGCCAGGCCGCAGTGAGCTTTTTCATATGCAGGGAAATTTTTTAAAAGCATTTCATTGAGCTAAAGCCCCAGGTTGGGATTACAAAGTTATGCGATCGGGCACATCACAGAGTCTAACATGTTTTGCCATGTTGGGACTAAATCGGTTTATACCCAGCTGGCCTGGGTGCTAAATTTCTTGGGACGCAGTGTTTTAAACATCTTTAGTACTTTCCCCAAACATTCCACCCAGCAACATCGCAGATGGTGCCATCCTGAGAATTGATATCTTTTAAAAAAAAAAACAACCTTTATGGAGGAAAGGGTTTATATTTTCTGATTATAAAAGTAATAGATGTTCATAGTAGGAAATCTGGGAGAAAGCAAAACACAAACTCAAGGATACCTGTACTCCCACCGCAGGGTCTTGTTTTCCACTTGTGAAATTAGTGCACACTCCAGGTCTAAAAAGGGCAAAAGCTCAAAGGAGCGTGAAGGGAAGGTGAGGGCCCCACATCCCGCTCCCTCTCACTTTCCCGAGCCCTCAGCCGTGCCGTTGAGTATCGAGCCTTTCAGACATTTCCCGCAGGCACACAAGCATATTATGCTCATGCTTTTTCTTTTTTTTTTCCTGTTCTTTTTAAAAAGTTTTATTTATTTATTTATTTTTAGAGAGGGTAAAGGAGGGAGAACCAGAGGGAGAGAAACCTCAACGTGTGGTTGCCTCTTGTGCGCCCCCAACTGGGGACCCGGCCTGCAACCCAGGCATGTGCCCTGACAGGGAATCAAACCGGCGACTCTTTGGTTTGCAGGCCAGCACTCAATCCACTGAGCCACACCAGCCAGGGCTTTTCTGTTCTTTTTAACAAAATTGAAACCCAAAGATACTATTTTGTCTTGACTCCCTGCCCCCAATTAGCAGTATATTTTAAACATTATGGACCTTATTTCTTCGTGGAAACTGAAAACTGTTCCATTCATTATTAAAAGGGACTTTCCAAATGGAGAAATCCACTAATAGAATACAGTATGTTACCCCAGTCTAGGCAGGGGAAACAATAGAGCATTTGCCACTTTCCTGTAAACTTGGATGAAAATAATTGAACAGAGGTAGCTGGCTATAAGTTAGACATAAGGTGGCAAAGGGCAAATAAGCTAAAGAGGTTTAGGGGGTGCAGTGCAATCTCCTGAAATCCGTGGGGTTCTCTAGTCTGGGAGGAAATGTGTACTAGGGAGAATCCTACCTTCGTGCTCCGGCCTATCTGGAAGGACTGCTCACTTTTCACCTGTCTTTCTCAATTGTAATTGTCCTTACAAATGTACCCCCTCCAGGCAGCCTTCCTTGACTACTCTAACCTATAGATTGTTCCTAACAGGAATCCCCCTAGTGTGTACATTCTCCTTGTCATGGCCTAGGGGCACACCTGGGCTTTAAGTCTTATGTGTGAGTCTTCATGTGTGAGCTCTGAGACTTCAGACACACAACCTTCCTTTATTCAACAAGTATTAGCTGAGCACCTACTGTGCACGAGACAGATACCAAGTGTCTGTTCTCAAGTCTTGTGGGAGACCCAGCCTAGTAAGCAGGCAAAGACCATGTGGTGTGATAAATGAGATAAAGGCCGTAATGATGCAGGGAGAGATACCACCCTGACCACCGCCTCCAGGGGTCAGGGAAGGCTGATCCGACAGGATAGACAAATAAGCCAAAGCTTTAATTCATTTACTGTTAAGTGGGGATAAAAATAACTGTCGTCCAGAGTTCCCATGAGATTAAACGAGGATTAAATGAGAGTATATAAATAAGGTGCTTAGCCTTGGATCTAGTATTTCAAAGATGCTCCCTGAATGTTACTGTTATTCTTACTCACTGGCAGTCTGTCCAGCCTATCTACCTGTTGTTTTGAATTACTGTTCATCGTGGCATTAACTTAACTCCTCACAAAGAGTGTCTTTTATCTCCCAATTACATTGTAATCCCTTCTAAGAGAGGCTGCGTTTCATACTTCATTAGGAGATGTGCCCGGCAGGCACTGGGGTACTATTGATTTTGTTTTATTTGTTCAGATCCATCTGGAGTAGTAGACTATGAGGCTGCGTTCTCCAAAGTGTGGTCTTCATCATACACCGAGGAAGGTGCAAGAGGGGAGGGTTTGTGAAAGATGGAAATCCCTGGGCCCTGATCCAGAAACTCTAATTAGGGGGGTCTGGGTGGGGCCCTGGAATCTGCATTTGACAGGTTCCCCAGTGGTTGTGATGCACAGTCACCCTAAGAAGCTCCAGGCCAGGGGATTTAGCAAGAGCTGGCCAG